CTATAAGCTGTGTGCCCGGAGTAGCAGCCTAGAAGTGCCACTGTACTCGTAGTTATACCCAATTTTAATTACACGCAAAATAAGGGGTGGTCCATGCAGATATGTCTAGAATGAGGGAGGTAACTTCTGGGTGGTCGAGTGTTGCCATGGAAAGGGCGGGAGGTAACTTCTGGGCGTTGCCATGGCACTGGTAAACTGACATGGCACACTGATGGGTGCGTCTGATGGGGAAGGGCTTCTGCCCCCTGACCTGTTTGAGCTGGTCCTCAATTAGGTCTGGTGTCCAAGCCCCACCTCCAGAGTCGAGTTCTGCCTCCTGCCTCAATAGGAGAGTAAATGGAGCCCTCACTGGGAAGGCTAGGTGAGGACGAGCAGGAGAGGATCCCTAGCAGTCGAGTGAGCAAATCTCAGCCCTGCAGATGACTGCGGATGCTGCTGCCCCAGTGCCTGCACAGGGGGAAAAGAAACCGCCAGGAAATGGCGCATTTTCCTGCTGCACCTTCCCACTCACCCACTTTCTGTTCATCATAGTCAACTGAACCTCCAAACTAGAAAAATACCTACAGAATAGACCAACAAATCCTTTTCCCTTCTGTGAGTGACATATTTAAATAAGTTTCTAACAGAATCATTCTCAAGTTGTAACAGTGGATCAACGGTTTTCCCTCTGCAAATATGTACAATGAAAGAAAATGTAACAGAGGTAGGAAAAGTGTCTGTGATTTAAAAAACAGAGCTTATTTTGAGAAATCAAAACAAATCCTCTCTCATGATGTAAAACTATACCAATAAACAAGGGTGAAAGTGATGTCTCATTTTGGTATTTCCCATAAGATTAGAGATACTGTTTCTTTTAATGGAAATCCCTGAAATCCAGAAAGACAGTTTCCCAGTGAAAAGCATAATCATGGAAATTTTCTAGTGTCGTTAGGGCAATACAGAGCAGATTGAATAGAACAGAAAACAGAATCTGTGAATTTGGAAGTGAGCTCAGAGAATCCTCCCAGAATCAGTGAAAAGAAGACAGAAATGGAGAAAATAAGAAAAGAGAGAAAGAAAAAGGAGAGAGGAAGCTACAAAGGAAGCTACAGATCAACTATGTAAGATTTTTAAATGGTGGCAACAGAGCAAATGAAAGAGAAAAAATAACTCAAGATATGACAGAAAATTCCCCTGAGTTGAAGCAAGACTTGTGTCTGTAGAATCTAGAGGCAAACTGCCCCGGCAGGCTGTTCACCTGCTTTCGCAAATAAAGTTTTATTGGAACATAGCCATGCCTGCTCATTTATACATTGTTTCTGGCGGCTTTCCTGCTACAACAGCAGAATTGCATGCTGGCCACTACAGACCCTATGGCCTACTTAGAAAGCTCTATGGCCTTCTAAGAAAAGATCTGCTATCCCCTCTAAGAGTTCTTTGATGCAGACATGCCTACAATGTTTGCATTTCAAGGATAACAAAATTTAAAATCCTATAATCATTTAGTCCTCTGGGGTGGGGGGTAGAAGTACCCAAATTACCTCCAGAAGAAGAAAGAAAGAAATTGCACTAGGCCACACTTCTTAGCAAATTCTAAGATAAAATGTTATCAAAATCCACAAACTTTCAGAGGGTTGAGATTGAGAACTAAAACTATATGCAGCCAAGGTGCCGTTCTTGTATATTTGTAATCTTTTTTGTGCTTCCACTCCTGGCGTGGTGTCTGCAATCCCAGTCACAGCACTCCGAAAGTGTGCAGATAATCTTATGTGGACAGATTCATAAACAACCTAAGTTGTGACTATTCTTGAAAACAAAAATCATCAAAGAAACGCTCCAGGTGGCTGAGAAATGAAGCAAAATAAATAATTCAGATATGAGGAAAAGCAATATAAAAGAAACATTGCTTAACAGAGAACCAAAAATTTCAAGTTAATTTCTTAATAATTGCAGTTAACGTGATTATAAAACAATGCAAGTGTCAAAAAATAATTCTGGAAAGAGATGAAACCCAATGTAAAAATGTATTAATTATAATATTCTTATTCTAAAAGCCAGATGGGGCTGGAAAAGGAATTGGTGATGCTAGTACTGGTAATTATAGCTTCCATTTTTAGAAGTTACTATGTATTAAGCACAAAAATAATGCTGATATAAATATTGTTTTTCATAAATCTTTGTACACATCTATAACATTAATTCCTTAACATAAATTCTTAGAAGGTGAATGCTGGGTCTGAGCATTTAAAAATCTTTCAACACAGTGAAATTTGAACTCTTAATAGAAATGTATAAGTGTTCATTTCTCTGAACAATGACAATTATTACCATTTTGTCAATAATTGCCAATGACAATTATTACCATTTTGCTAGTTATAATAGTGAAAATAATGTATGAAAAAGTATGGAAGTTTAAAAATTTTTGTACAAACAAGAGCAAATTAAGGTTATTTGATATAGTATTATAACTTTCACTCACTTGTGTTCTGATACACTTCTCAAATAGAAGACACCACCACTCTATTTTCATTTTTCATGAAGGTACTAGGTGGCATGTTTTTGTGGCATATAAATGTCAATTTTTGTTTTGTTTTGTTTTTTTTTAGATAGAGTCTTACTCTGTCGCCCAGGCTAGAGTGCAGTGGTATGATCTCGGCTCACTGCAACCTCCACCTCCCGGGGTTCAAGCTATTCTCCTGCCTCAGCCTCCTGAGTAGATGGGATTACAGGCATGTGCCACCACGCCCGGCTTTTGTATTTTTAGTAGAGACGATTTCACCATGTTGGCCAGGCTGGTCTCAAACTCCTGACCTCAGGTGATCTGCCCACCTCAGTCTCCCAAAGTGCTAGGATCACAGGCATGAGCCACCATAGCCGGCCATAAATGACAATTTTAAGGGGATATAAAATTTTTTATTTGGAGGCAACATTGATGAGAATTGAGGGCCATTATATAATTTATAGCAAGTCCCCAAAATGAGATTCTCTGCAGCCACTAAAAGTCATATTCACAAAAACTATTAGAGGTGTAAGAAGCTTCTGGAAATATAATACTGAGTGAAAAATAGTTTATATGATACAATTCCAATTCTGAGGTTAAAAAGCATATACCATGTACAAATAAGGAGATGAGCCAGACCTTAACAAGGATGGTCTTCAAGAGATGACAATCCAGAAGATGGGGTTTCTTCTTTATTCTTTTCTGTATTTTCTAAGTTTTCTATTTAAACATTTTAATACATAGAGAAAAACAGATATCTTGTAAGTAAGCTAGAAGTTTTTATCTGTTTCCCTGGCAACTAGGGTAGTCTCTGGCTCCCAGTAGACACTTCCGTCAATATCCACTGAATGAGTAAGTGAATGAGTAAAAGACTGTGCGTTTCCCCTAGGCAGAATCCCCTTTCCTAGGGCATCTTATGATCTCCTGGTTTCTGCAGGCCTGGGGTCCTGTCCTTATTTGCTTGCTTCCCACTGTCAGCTGCTCAGCTGCTTTGACCCTCACCCATCTCCCTGTCTGGATCTCTGCAGCATGTCCACAGTGGGGGCCTCCCCAGGTTACCTGCTTCATCTGCTAGGCCTGGGCCCCAGATCTCCATCACTGAGGCCCACCAACTGTGCCAGTTCTTCTTTCTTCCGAGCTAGAAAACTGCATTGGAAAAACTTCTTGGCCAAGGACATGACACCTTGGGAAACTGATCCAGGCAGTCAGCAAGGCTGATGTCATCCGGATAACACCAGGATCACACTGAGCTTCCCTTCCCAGTTGATTGGTTTCCTTGCAGGGAATGCTAATTTGTAAAAATCATTAATAGATTTGTAGCCTGAATTGGCCCTTAAAAACAGAGCTATAAACACCGATGTGATGTAATGGCTGGTTCTATTCTGATTTGTCAGTGACAATGTTTCACCAGTACTCAAAATGTCTCAAATATCACCCCTGCTTACATGGGAGTTTGAGTGAGGAAGAGACTGTTGGACTGTTTGCTCTGGTTGAATGAGACTTAGCAGGTTGGTATAACACATTTTGTCCTATCAAAAATAGCTGAGATTACATAAGCACAACCGCTCCCCAGAGCAAATATGCATTTGAGAGGCAGTGAAACATACATAATTACAGATGTAAAACACTAAAAATAGGCTCTGTGCCACACACAGGCAGCTGAGAGCGTGGGACTCGAGTGCAATGCTGCCACGTATGGCAATATTAATAGGAGTTGTGGCACCATCCCAGGTGGCCCAGTGAGGCGATGCAGAGCTTTTACAGACAGGAAAAGATGGAGAGATTTAAAATGTTTGTGTGCAAAGAAGTTTGCTGCTTATTTGAGCCTGTCAAAACCTGTTCCAACTGACTGTGGTCTTCTCCCAGGGGACAGGAAATAAGAATTCATCAGACAACCATGATTGTTACATTGTTACCTCTTATTGTATTCTTGTTATAACTAGTCAGTATGAATAATAATAGCAGCTTGTGCTTTAAAGCATGTGCTGTGTTTTCGAGGGATTTTTCACCTCTACGGTTATTCAATTCAACCAGTCTATACTGAGGGCTGTTTCAAGTAGCCTTTGCTATATAACATAACCTCCCCACAAAACTGGACGACTTCAATCAACCAGAATTGCTTTACAATTTTGTAAACTGGCTGTGTGATTTTCTGCTTGTCTCAGCCGGAAGGTCCCAAGACGACCTCAGGCACTTGTCTAGCAGCTGTGCTGGGACACTTGACTGGATACCCTGATGCTCCTCCCTGGGGCCTCTTGTCTTCCAGAAGGCTAGACCAGTTTCCTGATCTGAGGTCTCTGGGCAGTGCTTCAGGACGGCCCCGGTGAAAGCTGCATTGTCCCTTAAGGTCACCTCCACTGCATTCTTCTGATCAACGCCACTCACAAGGTCAACCCATATTCAGCAACGGGAAAATAAACTCCACCTCTTGATAGGAAGAGCTGCAAAATTTTGTAGGTGTGTTTAAGACAGCAGGGCTGAGCTAGATATTCACTTACGTCATCTCTTTTAATTCTCACAGGAGCCCTGAATGGAAAGGATTACTATGCACACTTTTTGGATACAGAAACTGAGATTCAGAGAGGTTAAACAACTTTCCTAAAGCCACACAGCGAGAGTCCAGCTGAACTGAAGATTGTTTGACATCAAAGCTCATTTCTTTCCCTATCCTCACCAGCCCTTTAGATCTGCTTCTATTAGGCCACATCCCAGAGCCACACAGATCAGGGAAGAGAGAGCTCGCTACTAAGGCAAGTCCTCTGTCAAATGTAACAGGGACAAGGAGACCAAGCGCTTGCCTGTGGTTTACTATGTGCCAGGAACTGTGCTGATTGCTTAACAATAATCAACCTAGCTAATCCTCATGGTAATGACACAAGGCAGGCATGGTTGTTTTTTGTTTTGTTTTGTTTTGTTTTTTAATCTCTTTTGCAGATGGGGAAACTGAAACAGGTCAGTAAGTTGTAGAACTGGGATCTGAAACCTGGGCCATCGGACTCCAGAGCTGATGGTCTTGCCTCCCTCACTTGCCAGACTCTCCAATCATAAAGGAGCTTCAAGCAGAGAATGGGAGAAGTTGTAGCCAGTGTGACCCCGACTCTCATTCCAAGGCCCTCTTCATCACCAGCACCTTCTCCTTTCCTCAACCCACCTCGCATCTGAACAGAGAGTCCCAGTTTTCCAGCACCAGAGATTGAGGTGCAGGGAAGTTAGATGTGTCTCTGCAAGTTTCCTGGGATGCTGATGGCAGGTGGCAGGGCAAGACCCAGGTCTCCTGCCTCCTGGACCTGGGCTGTGCCTAAGAGGAAAAGAAGGAAGTTATTAAACCCCGGGGACACTCCCTGAGCCTGAGTAGCCCAGTGTGGATGTGGCAGCATTCTTTTGAGGCAAGTAGGGGTAGAATCTTCTAAAAATAAGAGAGCTTCTGATCTCCCTTAAGTTGGTCAGAGAGCCCAGACCACTTTCCCTCCTGAGTGGACACGGGACATTTGAAATGCAAACCTGCCTTCAGCACTGGGATCAGCAGTAACACCGGCGAGTCTTCCGAGGACCGGGTGGTGGGCTGCGTTCCCCACGTTCCCCACGCTCAGATAAGCCCTCTCTCCCACACTACCAAAACCGCACACTGCGGAGCTTTGCTTTGAAACCCAACATCCAACAAGTCATGAATCATGAAGATCTGGACTCATCGGCCAACAAATTAGAGAGTGATTTGCTTCTGGTTTCCCATCAACGGTGAGATGCCCAAACACCTGTCTGCATCGGTTTCTAGGGGCATCCACTGCCCATCAGCAGAGAGGCCAAAAAGCTGATGTGCAGGGAAGTGGTGGGAAAGGAAGCCTTTCCAGAAGCGACTTGCTGTCGCATTGGGTGCAGTCCACTGCCAGTAGAATTCACCTTGCAGGTAAAGCATGGTGGGAACATGATGCATTTTGGTGGCACATTACAGGTTATAAAACTCTTTGACATCACTCATTCTTGCAAAGGGTATCTTATTTCATTTATTTAGTTTTAAACCTAGCATTTATTATGCCAGGCACCACAGTGAGTGAGTATGTTATATAGGTTTTATATTTTATTTGTATGTTTTTATGTGCGTATATATACATAGCATAAAAGTTACCATTTTAACTCTTTTAAGTGTACAGTTAGGTGGCATTAAGTGCATTAGTACTGTTGTGCAACCATCACCATCATCCATCCGAAGAACTTTTTTCACCTTGAAAACTGAAACTCCTTACCTTTTAAACAACAGCTTCCCATTCCCCTTCCTCCTAGCTGCTGGCAACTCCCATCCTCCTTTCCGTCTCTATGAATTTGACTTCTCTAGGGACCTCATATAAGTGGAATACTACAATACCTGTCCTTCCATGACTGGTGTATTTAATTTAGTGTAATGTCTTCAAAATGTATCCATGTTATAATACGCGTCAGAATTTCCTTCTTTTTGAATACTGAAGAATATTCTGTTGTGCGTATATTCCACATTTTGTTCATTCATGGACATTAGGGCTGTTTCCGCCTTTTGGCTGTTACAAATCATGCTGATATGAAGCCCAATTCACAACTTCATGTGGTTTTTGTCAGTTACTCTTCAAAACACATCTACAAGGTAGGTCCTCATACTTTCTCGTTTTCGGATGATGAAACCTGACGTAGACAGAAGGTAACACAACTGTCAAAGGTCACCTCTAGTAAACGGTAGAGCCACTTCATTCATTCATTTTCATTCATTCGTTCATTTATTCATTCACATTCAGCAGTATTTTGGGGTTCTTTGGGGTAACTACCATGTTCTGGCACTCTTGTTGATGCCAGAAGTCTAGAAGTGATCCGAGCTTACACCTTCTAATTCCATAGTCTCCTCTCTTCACCCTCACACCCTGCTGCCCCTCTATATGTAAATATCTGACATTCCAGAAGTAGATATAATGATTTATGAAATATATATAGACATATACGTGAAATATTTACAAAAAGTGAATTTATATTTTGTGGAAAAAATATAAAATTAAGATCCAGTGAAAGAAGCAGAATTTTAAGTATAAAGGGCTAATATGCAATTCAGTGTGGTGTGTGTAGGGGATGGTGCACCATTGTTCATCTCAGTGCAATGAGGAAGGCAAGACTTGGAGAGGCAAAATGATGGGTCCAGGGCCACGCAGCAGAGTTGAGTCCCTGCCCAGGTGTTCTGAGGCAGGTCTTGTGCTTTCCCCCTGAAACAAACACACTCTTGTAAAATATGAAAGGAAAGAAAAACATATTCTGATGAGCAAATGCCATCCCCTCAGGTAGAGATGAGACTTTGAGTTTCAGATCCTGGTTCCCAGAGGACCAAGGCAGTGACTACGAGCCTGGCCTCTGTGACAGGCACATCCACCGAGTCTAAGAGTTTGACATGCACCTGCTGTTTGATCCTCACAAAAACTGCCTTGTGTTCCACACCATCTTACAGAAGGAGAAACTGAGACTGGGAGTAGTTAATTCATTGTCTCACTGGCACAAAGCTAGCAAGTTGCAGAACTGGGATGTGACTCCCAATTCCTTACTTAACTCCTACGAGTCTTCCACGGCCAAGGAATGACTCCGGCATCCGAAATAGATGAGGTCTCCGGTGGTCTTCCAGCTCTGTGGGGGTCCTCAGACAGGGCTGCTGAGCCGCCCCCACCACCAATTCCTTACCTGCTCCTGCCTCTCCCACTGTGTGACTTCCTGGAGAGCCCTCTCCTCCCGTTGACTGTGGTGGTCCTTGACTCCTTTATGCAGCCCCAGTCAGTTTCTAGAGGGAGATTTTCATTCTTTTATTCACTTATATATTCAGCAATATTTGGGGGCATCCTACCATGTTCTGGCGGTGTTGTTGATGCTGCACATACAGAAGTGAACAAAATAGACACTATCCCTGCCCCGAGAGATATAAACATAATAAAAATACACTTTTAGATGGGAATAAAAATAAGAGCCATGAAGGAAAGTAAAGCAAGGTAAAGAGATTGAAGCAGCTGGCATAAAGGTGGCTACTTTAGGCAGGGTGATCAGGGAGGGCTGCATGGAGGAGGTGATATAAAAGCAGAGAGAGCCACGTGAAGGATGGCTGGGGGGCGTGGGGGGGAGCAGAAAGAAGTTTAAGTATAAAATCCCTGAGAGGAGAAGAACTTGAAAGCTTTGAAGATTGGCAAAGAGGAAGGTCAGTGTGTCAGGAGTAGGCCAAGGGGTGAAGAAGAGGGGGAGCCAGGTTAGAAGGACTGGCAGAAGACACTGACCTGAGAGCTGACCAAGGCGAGGACTTTGGGGGGTCAGGGGCTTGGCAAATATGATTGTCTCAGTATGGCCATTCATACTGGTGCCCTTTCCAGGCCATTTCTCCCGCTGGGAGCAGTGAGGAGCCTGCCAGCCCTGCTGCTTTGGAAAGCCCAGAGGACCAAAGAACTGAGGCTGCAGGGGAAAGGTGGGAGGGGAGAGGCAAGCAGCAGGAACACCGGGAAATGGGCTGCTCTGAAGGCTCTGGGGCCTTGGTTCTGCTCCGCACAGAGCTGGGCTGTCCTGGCTGATATTTGTTGTGACCTCTTCTGGTGTGACTTCCCTCCATCTCTCTCAGAACGAGCCTGGACAGTGGGTGTGAATAAGCCCAGTAGTCCTCGATGAGGAAGCCCCGTGTCCACGTGGGTAGGTCAGTGGGGAGGGGGAAGAACGCAGCTCAAACTTCAGGTAAGATGGGCCTGGCTCTGCCCCTTATCTGTGTTACCTGAGATAACTGTTTCAGCCTCTCTGAGCCTTTGTTTCTTAATCTACAAAAAGGGTACCATGATATCCACCTACTGGGTTGTCATAAGGTTTAAGCAGGAAAATACACATGAAGAGCTTTCACTGGGACCCAGGCCTGACAAATACTCAGTATTAGAGTTGCTCTTGTCCTGAAGGCACAGAGTTAGGATGGGAAGAGCTGGGATTCACACCCAGGTTGCCAGACTCTAAATATTTTGCCATTTCTGGCCCCTACACTCATGACAACAATCGCATCAGGAAGGCAAAGCCTGTGCTCTTCCTCTTACTCTGATTTGACAGCTGAGGAGACAAGGTCTCCATGTTTCCTTCCTTGAGAGCTGACCTGGCAGCCACATGGACCTGGCAGCTATCTCAAGAAACTGGGTGAACAAGAGCCCTTCCCCACCCAGCCTGGCCTTAGCATGGGCAGGGACAGGCAGTGAGGAGGGAGGCAGGAAGGAGAGAAGGAAGGAAAGAAGAAAGGAAGGAAGGAGTAAGGAAGGAAGAAAGGAGGGAGAAAGGGAAGGAAAAAAAGAAGAAAGAAGGGAAGGAGGGAGGAAGGGAAAAAGGAGGAAAGGCAGAAAAGAAAGAAGGAGTGAAGGAGGGAAGGAAGGAGAGAGCGAGGGGAGGAAAGAGCGAAGGAGGGAGCGATGGGGGAGAAAGGAGGGAATAAGAAGGGTAGGAGGGAGAGGAGGGAAACAGAGAAGGAAGGAGGGAGGGAAGAAGGGGAGGAGGGAGGGAGGAAGGAGGGAAGGAGGGGAGAGAGGAGGAAAGAAGCAAAGGAAGGAGAGAAGAAATGAAGATAAGAAGGAAGGAAGGAAGAAAGAAAGAAAGAAAATAAAGGAATAAAGTTTCCTCCTCCATCCCAGGGTCTCTGGGAATGGCAGATTGGATTGGCCTAA